GGGGAGGAGGAGGGGGTGACGGTGGGGGTGTGGGGGCAGGTTAAGGCGGAGTGTCTCAAGGGCACAGAGGGAGGGCAGGGATCGAGATTGAGCCGGAGGACGGCGCGACAACGGGGCTGCAGGGGGGGGATGAACGGCTGTTGGGTCACGAGCTTGGCAGCTCACGCTCGCTGCTCCCAACCCTTCAGCAGCTGCAGGGAGCTGTTGCCTCACATGTACAGCCTTACGTTGGCATCCCTGAGGCAAGGCGCCCCCTTGATCTCCAAGGAGCACGCAGCCAAGTGCAGACAGCTGCTGTGAATACAGGGCATCCCCTCATCGTCCCACCCCGGCACCACCCCGTGCCACCCCGGCGCCGCCCCGTGTCACCCGGGTGACGTCCCATGTCACCCGGGTGCCACCCCCCCCAAACCCCCGCCTCACTTGATGTACTCCTCCAGGCCCTTGTTGGGGTAGGGGTCAAAGTACACCAGGTTCATCTTGTGGCCCTCCACCATCATGCGCGCGTACGCCGCCCCGATCCGCCCCGCGCCGATGATGCCCACGGTCTTGTTCTGCAGCAGCTGCCCCACGAACAGCGTCGGCAGCCAGCCCTCGTACTTGCCGGCGCGCATGAACACGTCGGCCTCGGGGACGCGGCGCGCGGCGGACAGCGTCAGGGCGGCGGCGAGCTCGGCGGTGGTCTCGGTCAGGACGCCTGGCAGGTTGATATGAAGGGGGGGCGCAAGATGGCCAGAGTCGAGCCGACGTTTGAGAGGGGGTGGGCAGGGGCAGTGCTGCCGGGCAAGGGAAGAGCTGCCCCGGCACACCTCAACCAGTTTGACCCCGTGCTCGCTTCCTGATGTAAAATGTTGTCAACATCGGGTTGTTGCTGACCCAGGATCTCTGACAAAGGATGTGGCCAATATCTGCCAGCGCTCCCGAGCCCGCCCACGCTCGGGGCTGCATGCATCTGCACGCTGGCGCCCCACAGAAGCGCACCCGGCGTGTTGCCGACGGGGATGCCCCTCTTAGTCGCCTCTGGCACCTTCACGTTGTTGTAGCCCACTGCATAGTTGCTGTAGGCGCGGCCGCCGGCTGCCTTCAGTGCCTCAAACAGCTCTGAGCCCCAGTCCTGGGGTGGCGAGGGCGCGTGGGCGTTAACGTTGTTTGGGTGCATCCTGGGCCACGGGGCGTCCGAAAGCTTGCTCAACGGGGGGAAAAGCGGGGTCGCCGAGGCTGCGTGCTGCTATGCGCTCTGGGGCAAGGCAACCGCCAGAAGGCGCGGGGCTGCACCTGCACACGCCGCTTTGCTGGGCCCAGCAGGCAACCCGCTTCGACTCCCCTGCCAGCAAACCAGCCCTGCCTGCAGCTGCTCCAACCCCCTCCCCGCTTCGCAAACGACAACGTGCGGCCCGGCCCGCACCTCTGTCAGCTGCCCAATGACGCCGTCGCAGTGGCTTCCTATCAGCTTCTTCACGGTCGCCACGTCCTGGATGATGTCAGCGCTTTGGCTGACTTCCACGCGGCAGCCCGCGGCGATCAGGATCTGCAGCCACCTGTCACCAGGTAGAGCCTTGGTCACCACCACGCGCTTGCTGCCGTTCTCGTTGTGCACCTGTCGGGGGTGGTTGAGGTGAATATGGGGCCTGAAACGGGGTTGTGTGCAGGGCAAGGCAACCGCCCCCCAACCAGCCTGTGGGAGTGATAGGGCTGGTGCGGCCGATTAAAACAGGGCGGGACAGGGGACACGCGTCCCCAGTGCCAGCAGGCGGCGACGTCGCTTATGGAAGTCGCCGCTGCCGGCTGTGCAGGTGGCTCGGGCGTATTGGCTTCGAAAAGGGGCGCAGACCATAACACGAGCGCGCACTGGGCGCGCTGCGCCCGTGCGCCTGAACGCCGCGCCCGATCCTGCACACCGGCGCGCAAGCGGGCTGGTGGGTCGCGTCTCACAGGGCTTTTCTTGCCCTGTGGCTGCGCCTCACCTCAACAGGGACGCCATTGGCGCTGGATGTGCTGGACGCGGCAAACCCCCGGGCGCCTTCCGACCCCGCCGCGAATGGCTGGCATGAGCGCAGCAGGCGCGAGACGCCCTGCCTGAGAGCCATTTTGGTGTTCAGAATCCGCTGCACGCTCCTAGCTGGCCCTGGCGAGCTGTTGAGTCCGCTGCAGATCGGACAACGAATACAGGGGCCTTTAACTCGTCAGTACGAGTCGCTTTCGCATACTATGTGCCAAATTGAAACGATTGTGGCCTGACGGGTCAGCCGGTTGGAGGATGGGAGCACCTCAGCAAGGAAGGAAGCGGGATTGACTCTCTTCAGCATGCTCGCGCCTTTGGTCAGCTGTGGAGAACACAGCGATTATTCTTTCTTTTTCCTGTCTATATGAGGCTTCAGTAGGGGAATGTACGCCGATCAGTGAAGGCAAACACGGCGACGACGACGGCCTACAGGCCGCGCCCCACAATATGGCAAAGCAGCAGGGTGCCACCCCTTCGGTGGGGACAGGCGCTCCCAAGTCCTCGGCAATTCAGCTGCTGAAGGATGTGTTCGCTGGGACCTGCGGGTGAGACCCGGACGCGCCCCACGCCCGGCGCATGCGCCCGCCGCTCTACGTTGGTGGGTTTGTGCGCGGGCCGTGCCTTGTTGCGCCGCAGCGCCCCAGGCGGCATGGTGACATTCTCATGCCTTTCACCTTCCGCAGCGGCATATCAGTGACCCTGGTGGGCCACCCATTCGATACTTTGAAGGTCAGGCTCCAAACACAGCCGACCAACAACCCCATCTACTGTGAGCACAATGCACCAGCAAACCGCGTCGGCTGCGCCGTTGCAGCTCGAGCACACCAGCGCATGCAGCCGTGGTGCACTTGAGCTGCAGCCTCACTTCGTCAGCACCCGGGCCGCGCCGTAGAAAACGCTCTGCGCGGTGCAGGCATTTTTGCATCCCGCAGCTGCTGTCCAGCTGCAGCGAGGATGAGCAACCCCTCAATGAATCACCTGCGAAACGCCGCCACCCTTAAAATTTACAGCTGGCGTCCTGGACTGCGCGCGCAAGACGGTGCAATGGGAGGGCCTCGGCGGCTTGTACAAGGTGCGGGTGGCTGCCGCTCCGATTGCGGCGCCACCGCCCTGCTGCGCGTTTCTGCGGCGGCCCCCACCTTTGGTGCGCGACGTGCGCTTGTCAAAGCAGTCCTGCAGCTGAATGGTGAGGCGCTATCGACTGCAAACGCGACAACGGCAGACAGCGGCTGGCGGAACGCCAGGAAGGCACCCAAACGCACACTTCCCGAGCCCGCGATATCAAACTGGCCCCGAACCCCTCTCCCCACCCCGCAAACCTCGGCCCCCGCGGCCGCCGGCCCCCACCCCAGGGCGTCGCGTCCCCCCTGGCGGGCCAGATGTTTTTCCGCGCGTCCCTCTTCGGAGCCTTTGGCTCCAGCAAGCGGTGGCTGGCCACCAACCCAGACGGCAGCCTGCGGCCGCTGCGGACGGCGGACTTTTACAAGGCGGGGGCGATGACGGGGTTTGTGGCGGCGTTCACGGAGGGGCCCATTGACTTTTTCAAGAGCCAGATCCAGGTGAGGCGCCGCAGAGGGCGTTTGATGTTTGACCGGGCCTGACAGGGCAGACTGTTCTAGTTTCAGGGGCATCGATGTGTGGCCAGTGGGTTGTTTGTGGGACTGGCAGAGTGCTTGCGTTTAGCGTGCGATTTTCGATGCGGCCTGGCAGACTGCTTTGTTTTCAGGGGTGTTGATGTGTGGCGAGTGCCTGAGAGGGCGCGACACCCAAGGGGCAAAGCGAGGGTGTTGCCCCGGCCACCGGGGATAGCCGGTGGCAGAAGCCAGCAGCAGCGGAGACCGAACAGCGGGCAGCAGGGACCGTGCGGCGGGCGGCGGGCAGCGGGCAGCAGGCAGCGAGCAGCAGGTACCGGGCAGCGGGCAGCTGCAGCTGCAGTTATAGCAGCTGAGGCAGGCGCAGCAGCTGCAGCAGCCAGCAGCGGGCGGCGGGCAGCGGGCAGCATGCGCCGGGCGCCCGGCAGCGCAAATCACGCAGCCAAGCCCCGGCCTGGTATCCTGCATTTTGCTGCCTTGACCCAAAGTTGGTCAAACATGTGATCTGTGACGGCGCCCGCAGGTCCAGATCATCCGGTCGCGCACCAACCCTGACTACAAGCCGCCGTTCACCTCTGTCAGCGCGGCCGTCAAGTCGGCCATCCGGGAAAACGGATTCAGGGGCCCTTTCCAGGTGCGGCTGGCTGGCAGTGGTGTCATCTGGGGCAGCGGTTGCGTGGAACGCGATTTGGAAATGGGTGCTGCCTTGCTGATTGCTGCGGCTCGCCGTGCGAGCTTTGCGGGAGGACGCTGTTGCCCTTGCAAGGCACATCCAGGGGGACTGCCGGGTGGCAAGCCCAGAGGCAACGCCCGCAGTGGCGGTTCCCGGGAGGGGCGGGCGCAGCCGTGGGATGAACGGGTCGACTTGCTGCACGGCGGCGCGGCCCCGCGGGGGGCGGCGCGGTTTGGCCGCCGTTCTGCCTGCCGCCTTGCACCCACGGGCAGGGGTGTACGGCATGCAGACAGCGACAGGATTGGGGCGGGGCTCGCCTCGATCTACCAAGGGTGGCGGCGCGGTTTGGCTGTGACCATGTTCGCTGAGCAGGCGCTGGGCTCTGGCAGCCCCGCGTGACACAAGGCTGCCGGCCTCACCGCCATGCCACTCAAACGGCCGCGGGGACAGAACACCCATCTACACGCGGCTGCCCCCGCCAGCCCCGCCCAGTCCCTCGACCAACCCCCCCC